TTAGATCCCACCCATGTGATGGGCCTGTACCCCGACCTGCTGCCCACTGACTACAGGAAGCAGCTGCAGTACCCGAACCCACTGCCTGTGCTCTCCGGGGCTGAACTGGAGAAGGCTCATTTGGCTCTGATAGACTACCTGACACAGGTAGGTACGACGCACCTGCCGGAAGTGGAGGGCCTCCTGTAATGCCGCAGAGCATCCAGGATTGAGCGCTGCAGTAGTCTGAGGTGGGGCACAGTTTTCTCTGTTTCTGGTTCCTTAGTTTGACAGTACTGCCGGGCCTTTTTTATTTTCAATGTGTTTCTCTGTGTGTGTTGTAATCAAATCTCGATTTCTAGTGAATCCATATTAAACTGTTTGAGGAACAAACAAGGATAAGTGTTAGTTGTTAGAAAAGAGTAACTTATTTTTCAAGCAAACTCTTTGTAGAAATGCATACTCTTTTTTTGAAAAAGCACTCACTCTGGGCAGAAAACATGGGAAACATAAAAGTACAAAATAAAGTTACAAATCATCCTTAACTCCACCACCCAGTGACATATAACTAACATTTTAATGTTGCCCTTCCAGGCTTTTATATGCACTTATAGATTTGTTTTTATTCCTCTATTTATTTCTTATATACAGATGATAAACAATTCTGTTTTATAGCTTACCCTTTGAATTGAGCCATGTGTGGCTAAACTTGGTATCCGTAAATGTTTTTCAGGAGCATGGTTTGAAGGGATGGTGTGTGCTTCTGTTTACTGTTACAGACAGCTGGAGGACATTTTCAGGTCAATTAAGATAGCACGCCCATCAGAGCCTCTTAGCTTCTAATCTCTGTCTCAGAAAACTTGTGTACTTCCTGGTGACCCATTCAGAGCTGGAGAATGTATTTTCTCCCATAAATGCTCGACAGATCTTTGTAAGTGGTTCCTGGGGAGCCACGGGCAAAACGGTCATGTTGATTTCCTGCCTCCTGCTTCTGGGCCAGGGGGTGCCCAGTGAGTTTGCTCAGGCATGCAAAACCTGGGTGCTTCCTTGACATTGGGCCCCAGAGGATCTGGCTGTCTCTAGAAGCACGCTAACTTACCTCGGCCTGGATGCTCCACGGTCATCTCTGTGCCAGACACAGAGCACAGTGCTCAATGTCCCAGAGCACAATGTCTCCCAAGCCGGGGTCTTTATAAAAGGTCCTCTCCTGTCAATGTCTTCTCTCAGCGCTAGGAATCCAGGCCTTTTCCTCAGATGTTTGTGTATGAGGAGGTCACCGACATTAGTCTTATTCCAGAAAGATTGTAGCGCGTATGAGATTGGTCTTTGCTAGATATGAAAGAGTATAAATGAGATGATTCTGTGTCTGTGAAGTTCTATGATAGGTAAAAACTAGTGTACATCGATAGGAAACAGACCAGGATGATAGAAATGTTCTGTTCCTTGATTGAGGTGGCGGTTACACACGTCGATACATCTATCAAAATGTCGTTAATATAGACTTAAAAGGAGTATATTTTATTGTACATAAATTACACCTCAATAAAGTTGGTTTTTGAAAATTAACAGATACAAGGGGTTATAGGGAATACAGGGATGGTGAGTGGATGGGTAAGGGGATCTTGGGAGTAAATGGTGAAGCCGGGAGAGGGATGGGCACACTAAGATGGATTGTGATCGCCTAACTCATCTTGGAGATGATTTAACCATGGGAGGGGGAATGTTCTAAAGAAACTGATGTGCGGGTGATTGTGCAATTCTCCTTGATATGATTGAATGGATGAGCTATTGAATTATAGGATATGTAAATCATTTGTCAATAAAACTGTTGGGGAAAAAAGATTGATTACAACACACACATCATGAGCATCATGGGTTTTGAACCAGGTAGACGCTGGTGTGAATCTTACTTTGGCCACTGAAGTGGTTCTAACATCAGTGTCTTGGATTCTTCCCCTGCGAAACAGGGATAAGGATCCCTGCGTGTGTTTTCCTTGTAAATACTGCAATGTACAGGAAGTGTGTGACACAGTGCGTGGCATGCCGTAAATACTTGATAAATGGGTGTGGCCATGATTTTGATCCTCGGTAAAAATTATAATGCCAAGGTGCCATCAGGATAGGTAGCTGTGAGCTGATGTGGAGGTATTTGAAGTTACCCAGTGATAAAGTAAGATTTGGTCCCGACCCTGACCCCCTCCTTTCTGGTGTCCGCAGAAACGAAGTCAGTTGGTGAAGAAGTTAAATGACTCCGACCACCAGTCTAGCACCTCCCCACTGATGGAAGGCACGCCCACCATCAAGTCCAAGAAGAAGCTGTTGCAGATCATTGACACCACGCTGCTCAAGTGCTACCTGCATGTGAGCTACCTGAGCACTCGGAGGCCCCCAGGCTTCCCCTGGCCCTTAGGCCTCTGGGAAAGTGGAAGGGAGCTCTGGGCTGGGCTAAGAGTGCAGCTCTCATGGAAGGAACCCCCCCTGAGTTTCTTGGAATTGAATTGGTTAAGGCGAGGCATTGATGCAGAATCTCACTGTGGGCTACCCCTCCTGGTGCTATAAGATAAACCAGGGAAGTTTTTCCTCCAAGAAAGTGTTCTCCTTCCCTCAAGAGAAGTAAAGCAATGTGAGAACAAGCACAAATATGCTTAAAAAAAAAAAAAAAAGCGCCATTATTTCCTTAGTCCTTGGAAAGGGTTCTTGGCTCTCTCTTGGAGACAGGGCTGGGTCAGGGTGGCTCCCCAGACATAGTTCCCACTGAAGTCCGCCCTCTGCAGACGAATGTGGCCCTGGTGGCCCCCTTGCTGCGGCTGGAGAACAATCACTGCCACATCGAGGAGAGCGAGCACGTGCTGAAGAAGGCACACAAGTACAGCGAGCTGATCATCCTGTATGAGAAGAAGGGGCTTCACGAGAAAGGTACCTGGAGGGGTGGTCCTTCTGTCTGGGACGCCCGCTCAGACGGGCCCACTCCCCTGTGGGGCATTGCCCTCCTTCCGGAGGAAGCTCCTGACCCTCTCCCGGGCTTCCTGGTCAGCTCTGCAGGTCCTGGTGGACCAGTCCAAGAAAGCCAACTCCCCCCTGAAAGGCCACGAGCGCACCGTCCAGTACCTCCAGCACCTGGGTGAGTGGCCGTGGGGAGTGCCCACGGGACACCTATCACTGCCCCCTCCCCGCCCCTGTGTTTGCCTAACCCCGAGGCCCCATTTGGGGGAAAAGTCCCCGTAGGGATCCAACCGTAACAGCTCCCCAGGAGAGTCAAGACAGCCTGAGTGACTGGCGCTTGAGCGGAGCTGTGCTGGGGGCACCTGCCCGCCTGCCTGCCTGCGTTCTCAGTGCCATGGGCAGGGTGCTCAGCCACTGACGAGTCTTGTTCCTCCTTGTAGGCACAGAAAACCTGAATTTGATTTTTTCCTACTCAGTGTGGGTGCTGAGAGACTTCCCAGAGGACGGCCTCAAGGTAGGTCACTTGTTTGTCCTGATGCCACCTGAGGCTGGGATGGGTCTAAGGAGAGGGTGGACTCATACCATTTCTCTGTTGTTCAAAGCATTCAAATGAAACAAGTGTGGCTTAGAGAAAGGAGCCTTGTGCCAGTGCAAGGACCTGGCACCGAGTGTGCCACACACTAGCTAGCTGTGGGAGCTTGTCGCCTCTGTTAAAATACGGGGCTGCATCTAAGCACCTTCTGACTCACAGTCTCCCTCCTAAAGACTGCCCTGTTGACTCCTTGACGCGGGCGGCGGGCGTGTGTGCGTGTGCGTGTGCGCGTGCGCATGCGCGCGTTGTAGTCAGCTGGTCTGTTCGACAGATATTTACCGAAGATCTCCCAGAGGTGGAGTCTCTACCACGAGATCGGGTGCTTGGCTTCTTAGCAGAGAACTTTAAAGGCCTGGCTATACCTTATCTGGTAAGAGATTGTTTGACCTAGAGCTTATTTTAGACGCCATCATCTGATCGTTGGGTCGTTCACAGTGGGCCGTTGTCACTTGAGGGTGAGGCTTATGTCACTCGTCACTGAGCATTGGCCAAAGAGGGTTATTGCAACTTCTTCTCTAGGAAGAAATCTCTGTGGGACAGAGTAAGAATGTTGCTCTAGGCTGGGGCTGCCTTCTAATGCAGGGTAAAAAGGATGATGTTGGGGGTGGGGGGACCAACCTTCAGAACCAACCACAGCTGTGCCCACAAGAACACCCAGACCAGAGTGCTGAGTCCCAGAATGCAGCTGCTTCCTTTTAACGACATGGGCGCTGATGGGGTGGTTGGGAGGTTCCTGCTCAGGCAGGAAACCAAGCGAATAATTCCTGGGGTGTTGCTGGATTGCCTTGTGGGATTTCTCAGCGGTTTTAGAAGAGCTGGGGCAATGCCCTTGGTAGTCCCTGCAGCTGGATGAGTGGGGAACCTGAGTGGGGCCCAGGCCAGGTGGTACCAGGTGGACCCACCTCTCATCTCGCCCCAGGAACACGTCATCCACGTTTGGGAGGAGACCGGTTCTCGGTTCCACAACTGCTTGATCCAGCTGTATTGTGAGAAGGTGCAAGGGCTGATGAAGGAGTACCTCCTGTCCTTCCCCGCAGGTACCAGTTCTCCTGCAGACCAGTCAGCCCAGGCCCGTGGGGGCCGTGCCTGCTGTTAGCAGACAGAACTCACCCTCCTCTGTGGGCCTGGGTGGGCAGCAAGGTCCTCAGAGGAGGTGGAGAGCTGGAACTAAAGATTCAGCAGCTCCCGTCTGGCTCTGGGTGTCGCTGAGCATCATGGGTGGGGGTGGGGGGTGGGGCGGTGGGGATGACCAGCTCTGACTGCAGGGTGACAGCTGATAAAGACACAAGCTTGCCTGCCAGCGTGTTTGGACCTCAGGCTGATGTTTGGGGATCTTGTCGAGGTCAGGAGCCGCCCAGCTGGAAGCCACTGTGGTGGTGGCCCTTCCTGATGGTCGTGGTGACATCCTCGAGCCCTTCCCCTTCTTTGTGCCGCTTCCCACACGGCGGGGCCGATGGCCTTCTCTGAGTGGAGCTAGTTTTCTGTAAAGGCAAAGCTCCTGTCCCGGCGGGAGAGGAAGAGGGCGAGCTGGGAGAATACCGGCAGAAGCTCCTTGTGTTCTTGGAGATTTCCAGCTACTACGATCCCAGCAGGCTCATCTGTGACTTTCCTTTCGATGGTGAGTTTCTGGCTGTGAAGGGTGTGAGCCTCTTGCTGATGGACAGCAGGTCGCAACCTGCTCAGCCTGCATAAGCGCTCTTGACCAACCTGATTGAGTAGCACGGTTGGCAGCTCAGTGTGATTTTTCTGAAAAAGTGCTGCGTACACTCTGGGACAGCAGAGACCTGGTGGGTGTGTGTGTGCTTGCCTTATTACCCGGCACACCTGGAGTACAGCTCACGCAGCTGGCTCTCACGTGTTCTCGTCCGGCCGATAAGGGAGCCATGCACGGGCACGCACATGCACATACGCATGCATGAGCGAAAATACCTCCTGAAGATTCCTCCTGCTGGATCATGTTTTTGCCTTGTAGAAAAATCTCAAAAAAAAAAAAAAATCATGAAATCCTCTCCCCCCGTTTTGTACTGCCCCTATTTATTCCTCTTAATACGTAGCTTCCCAAACTTAGGTGGCCCCCTTTGGAGAACGAATTACTGAGTGCCACCCTCCCTGCAATGAAAACCTTTTGTACTTTAGCCGGTAATCCAGGACGGAGTACAGACAGCTGTTGTCCCAGTGTACCCTCCCCTGGCCGCGTACCCCTGACCGTGTGCTTGCCTGATGTTCACTCTGTCGGTCACAGGCCTCCTAGAAGAACGAGCCCTCCTCCTGGGGCGCATGGGGAAGCACGAGCAAGCCCTCTTCATCTACGTGCACATCTTGAAGGATACCAGGATGGCTGAGGAGTAAGTCGGCCTGTTATTCCCGCCTCCCAGAGGCCTGATAGAAGGCCCCGGAGAGATGGGAGATGCGAGGGACACAGAGGGTCATCTTCCCACCCCCTGCACCTGGGCAGAGACTCCCCCCTGGGCTGGCTCCTGACCATAAGGTCATCTGTAGATGCATGTGCCACTGATGACCACCTTCTCCTGTGGGGCGCCCCCCCCCCCTCCCGCCCCCTGCCTCACCTCTGTCTCCCGTGCAGGTACTGCCACAAGCATTACGACCAGAACAGAGACGGCAACAAAGACGTAAGTAGTGACCCCGGACCCAGGGGAAGCACACATGCGTTTGACCTCACGTGGCGCACCTGACCACACGGGTTCAGCTGCAGGTGGCAACAGTATGAACTGCTGACGTGGACAGAGCATGGTCATGGCCGATTGTGTTTGTGTCCTGGGGCAGTGTACCTGTCTGTGCTTGGTGGGCTTGGGGTGTGTCTGGTTGGTGTCTGTTGCCTCAGATAGTTACCGTCTGCACCGCGTCTGCTCCCCAGAGCCCTGATTTGTACCATACACGACACAACCAGCCTCTGGTGATCCCGAGGAGGCTCGTGTGTGCACTGTCTGGACACATGGCTTTGTCGATGTCTGAACACACGCTTGGTGGTGCTGCCACACCATGCACAGCCAAGACTTCCCCAGCCCTCCCTGCTAGTGGGGCCAAGGTCAAGCAGCCCTGTGACACCAGCAGGAAGTCTCATCCTGCGTCCATCCTCGCCTGCTGCACTGTAGTTAGGGCCTCTGCTTTCAAAGCCCAAAGCAAACTAGAAGGTCTCCCTTAGCCTTTTTAGGTGGTAATCTGTCTTTACCAATTCTCTCTCAAGAGGTGCTGAGTTCTCAATGTTCCGTCCCAGCCATTGTTGAGACTAAACCTGTTAACATTTAGCTGCGGTGAGGGCTGGCAGCAGATGGCAGGGTGGACCTCTGGGGGGGTTGGGGAGTTAGCGGTTGTCCAGGAGAGGTTGCTGGTAGCGCCACTGGGGCCCTGACCTATGTGGCTTGTATTTCTTTGGGGCAGGTCTATCTGTCCCTGCTTCGGATGTACCTATCACCCCCCAGTGTTCACTGCCTGGGGCCAATCAAGCTGGAGCTGCTGGAGCCGCAAGCCAACCTCCAAGCCGCCTTGCAAGTCCTCGAGCTGCACCACAGCAAGCTGGATACCACCAAGGTGGGCGGTTGTTCGTCGGGACATGGAGGGGGCATTGGCGGGGAAGCAGAGTGAGGAGACAAAAGCCCCGGGGTCCTCACCGTGTGCCTGTCTATGTTCCTGTCCCTAGGCCCTCAACCTCCTGCCAGCCAACACTCAGATTAATGACATACGCATCTTTCTGGAGAAGGTCTTGGAAGAAAACGCACAAAAGAAACGGTTCAATCAAGTGCTCAGGAACCTTCTCCATGCAGAGTTCCTGAGGGTACGAGCCTTCAGGCACCAGGGCAGGACACCAAACATGAGAAACAAAACCCAGACCCCTGCCACTGAGTTGACTGTGGCACATGGAGGGGCCTGGGTGTCGGGGTAGAAGTGTGCTCCCCAGGGTTTTCCGTGGCTCATCTGGGGGAGTGGATCTACAGGACTTCCTTCTTAGGGGCCCCGGGGTGGTTTCAGACCCCTCACCTTTGTGGTTGGCAGCTGAGCACTGACCCACTTAGATCACCTGCTTGCTCAGACAGAGACAGAGCTTGAACTGCTTTACTTTGTAGCTCAAGCTGAGCCACTGTCCACCTGAGAAGCCAAAACCAAGCTCACGGCCATCCAGGTGATGCCGCCGACTCATAGTGACCCCATAGAACAAAGTAGCACTGCCCCTTTATGAGAATAGAAAGCCTCTACTTTCTCCCAAGGAGCTGCTAGTGGTCTCAAACTGCTGACCTTGCAGTGAGCAGTCCAATTCTTAACGACTACGCCACCAGACATGCAGGTTAAATGCTGCAGATCAAGGGCTCTGTGAGGCCCTGAGACCAGCCGGCTCCTGCCTGCCTCTGTGCCTGTGGGCTGCACCGTGCAGCTCCTCTCCGTCTCCCCATTCCTTCCAGGTCCAGGAAGAGCGGATTTTACACCAGCAGGTGAAATGCATCATCACAGAGGAGAAGGTGTGCATGGTGTGCAAGAAGAAGATAGGGAACAGGTGAGCCCCCACCTCAGCCTGTGCATCCTCCTGGGGTTGTACTTCTCGTGCTGGGCCACATCAGGGCCAGCTGGAGGCCAAGGCTGGGTGAGAGGCTCCACCTCTGCCCATTAACCAGAGAAGACAAGCGCTGGCTGCTGGCTCTCCTGGCTTCTTGTGGTTCTTGAGCACCCAGAAAGCGTGGCTTTGAGAATTGAGACCAGAAATGTGTGCTGTGGTGCTGGCAGTGCTTTGTCCAGCAAGCCCGACTCCTCTGGGCACTGGAAAGCTGATTGTGACCTGTGGTCATCAGTCCTCCTGTAAGGAGGAGCCTCTAAAGCATTGGTTCTCCACCTTCCTAATGCCACGACCCTTTCATACAGTTCCTCAGGTTGTGGTGACTCCCAAACCATAAATTATTTTCATTGTTACTTCATAACTGTAGTATAATTTAGGGGGGTGGCGACCCCCCACCCACTACTACCCACGGGTTCAGTAAGCACAATTGTACGGGTGAGATATATAAGTATTAAAGTCATCGAGAACATGAGCGATACAGTAATGCCGTCAGACACATTACATGGTAGCATTGCTCACCTCAGCCCCGCTTGGCGGTCCAAGTGGAGAGAGTGGGAAGCAAAGGAGGATGGGGAAAGGGAACAAGGGAGAGAGGACTGCAGAGGAGAGGGGCCAGGGAGAGGAGAGATCAGCGAGAGAGATCTCTATTGCTGACCCAGGCCTATATATACCTTTTGGGCGTGCAAGCCCACTAATTACAGGTAAAGACATATGTCACAGGAAGGGGTTGCACTATAGGTTATACAGCCATGAGGGGGACATACACGAGATAGGAAGAGGAAGGATTGGGGTATACATGTGACAAGATGGGTGGATCCTAGATACAGGATGGCAGCCTAACTTTGGATGTCACAGAGCCTGTTTGACTTGTTCCTGACTCAACTGATAGAGACTCAACTGATAGGGATGTGAACTCCGCCTACAAGAGCCTGCCCATTGTCCCCAGCAGCAGGGAGCAGGCTCACCCCTTGGCCTGGTGACTGACTATCTTCAGGGAGGATGACACCCCCCCCCCCCATAACTATAACTTTGCTAATGTTATGAAAGGGTTGTTCAATCCCCAAAGGGGTGGTGACCCAAGGAAGAACACAGTCCTTCAGCCTGCCATCTCCAGACGGGCTGAACCTGAGCCAGCCTCCCGCTGCTTCAGACACAGACTCCAGCCTATCCCTCTTCACTCTCCTGTGTGGCCGGAGACATCCTGTTCTCTGGAGACCTGGCACTGCCCTTTGTGAGAATCAGCCTGGCACCCGTTCAGAGGATCCTTGCCACCCCTCAGGCCCCTCTGCTCGGTGTCCTGCCTGGTTTGCTCCCTCAGAAATACCCCAGTGGTGTGGAGCACACAGCCTGTGGGTAGAGTTGGACAGAGCTGATGCCTAGGGAATCCTGCGCCCTGGGGGCCCAGCTGTGATCAGGGTGGGGGGGCTCTGTGATCAGGTGCAGATACAGCTTCCCTTGGAGGCAGCCCCAACACACCATCCCTCTTCTCTCCCCTCAGCGCATTTGCAAGATACCCCAATGGTGTGGTCGTGCACTACTTCTGTTCCAAGGAGGTGAACTCGGCTGACACCTGAGCCCAGCATGCCAAGGACCGAAGACGGACAGCTGCCATCCCAGAGGATGAAGGAGCACCGGCCTTGGGGCCTGGGGGGCTGCCACCCCCTGGTGTCTCATTTGCACACTCCTGGACACCTGGGGCCCTGGAGCATCTCTGAACCAATCAGACTCGTGGTCAGGCATGGCCAGCTTTTTTTTATAGCAAAAAGGGATTCACTGTACATTACACATTACGTTGTGGGCAATTCCGGATACTTTATTCACTACGCACTAGGACAGGAGGAGGTGAGGGTGCTGCACCAGCTTGCCTTTGCATGCCAGCCCCCTGGAGGAGGGCACCTAAGTGTTTGTAGCCATGGGCAGTTTCTTAAGTTTTTCCAAGCGCACCACACCATGGGAGAGACCTGGGAGAGAACAGGGTGATGGTATGCACACAGCGACCTCCTTCCTAGCTGATGGCAGGCAGGTAACCTGTGGTGTCTGTGCCCTGTGTGTGTGTGTGTTGGGGTTGGGGGTGGGGGTAAGTAATTGCCCCTCCCACGCCGCTTTGTTTTTCAATCTCTCCCCTTTCTATTTATTTTCTCGTGCGTCCCGCACAGGCGCAGTGTCCCGTGTCGCTAACCGCAGGCATAAGGAGTGTTTCAAGGAGGAGGAGCCGTGGGCAGCTCCCTTCTTTGGAGCGCGTCCACTGGCTGGTCTTGGCGTGGCGCTGCCAATAGGCCAGCTTGGGAGGGCCCCCTCTGCTGAGCCGCCTCAGAGAGCACGCCTCTCTGCGCAGGAGCATTCTTCAGTCACCTTTTTATCTGCCCACACCCCTAGGGCCAAGACTGGGCCACCATGGCCCCTGGCCCAGGACCTCATCGGCCAGCAGCTCGCTCAGCTCAGGCCAGCAGCTTTTTCCGAGCAGAGGGCGCCAGCCTCTCTTTCCCCGGCCGCTTCCCATCTACTTCCTTCCAGCCTGGGCTGGCCAGGCCTGGCCTACGGTTCTGTAGCTTGCTTTTGCAGGGCCCTGTAGCTTGCTTTTGCAGGGCCCGAGGGATGTGGTGAGCCTTTGTAAGCAGGCAGGTCACATGAGGAGGAGTTTACCACTGTGTGGTTTCAGTGTGTGGGTGAGGCTCTCTCGGGGACAGTAAGAGGAGCAGCATGTGGGCTTTCTCAAACAGCTCAGTGCCAGGCCTGTTTGGCCTGGGTTGGGGACCAGCCTCCCGCAGTGGCCTCGGGTGCATCTTGTGGCGTTTCCACTAGCCCTGGAGGCTGAGCTAACCTGGGGCGGCGGGCCCTGCTTCCCACTCTCCCCAGGGTGTCCGCAGCTCTGTGGGGCCCTGTACCTCGCCTAAGAGTGAGGGTGGGGGCCGGGGCCCAGCGTCAGCAGCGTGCGGGGTATTTCTTAAACCACAGCGCCGGTCCTTCTGTGTCCTTAGGTGTAGGCAGGCTGGCTGGGGCAGCTGCAGATAAGAGACGGGCACCTCCTGGACGCGTCTCCGCGGAGACCACGGGCTGGGGCGAGATGTGGGAAGGACAGGACGCTTGGGGCAACATTCTGTGAGAGCCCCCGCCCCAACTGGTGCTGCGGGACTGCGGTTCGGTTTGTGCCACCTGAGCTGTGCTGCCTCGGGTGCAGGGAACCTCCAGGCCGCCGGCTTTCAGCTTTACACCAGAAGCTCCGCCCCACGCCGAGGCCCCGCCTTCCTGGTCCGCAGCTTCGGCAGCATCCTCATCTTCACGAACCACGTGGCGGATGGGACCAAGACCACGTGGTCTGGTCCCTGCTGCTGTGCATGAGCACCTCACCACCTGCCCAAGACTCGGGCCTGCCTGGAGCTGCGGAGGAGCTGTAATGAGGCCTCCCCAGGTCTTGTAGCTGCCCCTCATCTAAGAATAGTAAAGCAAGGAGCCAAGCCGCTGTGTGTCACGTTTTAATCGACTGTGGAGCGTGGTAATAGCAACGGCAGAATGAGTGATTTAAGAATTGAGGATAATAAGCCAATTCACAACGACTAAGACAGGAAAAAATGTCCGTGCTCACGACAGGTTGCAGCTAGCAAGAACTGTGCTGAGGACCTAACTTTCTCTCTGTTGCCTTCTGGGGCCTCTAAGTGAGATGCTCCGTGCTGCAGCATGCAATTTGCTGATGCGCTGGTTTTCCTTTTCATGCCCGAGGCAAAGATGGCCTTTATAAAGATGCTGATAATAAAAGACTTAATACTGAGGGGGGAAACATATTCGATGTGTGTCAGAACCTTAAGTCTGGCCCAAAGGGAGTCACTGGAACAGAATCCCATCCCAAGCCAGGAGCTGCCTGTACCACGCTCCTATTGCCTATCACGTACTCTGTCTAGATTTGTGCAGTTCAGTATGGTGACTGTTAGACACATGTCGAACGGTCATTTGAGTGTAAATAAAGTTTTGGATTAAGTTCCTTAATTGCAATCAGTAGCTGCACCACAAGTGTTCAAAGGCCATCCGTGATGGGTGGCTCCTGAGCTGACAGCACACAGGTAGGACACTTCTGTTGTCAGAGTTCTAGCTGGGACTGGGACTCTTACAACATCAACCACCCCACTGGCACGGAGTCCATCCCAAGGGAGAACTGCTCCTGTGGGTTTCCTGGATAGTAAATCTTTGGGGAGTAGAAAGCCTACTCTGTCTCCTGTGGAGCAGCTAGCGGGTTTGAACTACTGACCTGTGGTTAACAGCCTGATCGGTAACCACCACGCCACCGAGGCTCTAGATCAGCAGTTCTCAACTTGTGGGCCGTGACCCCTTTGTGGGTTGAACGACTGTTTCACAGGGGTCACCCAATTCATAACCGTAGCGAAATGACAGTTACGAAGTAGCAAAGAAAATAATTTTTTGGTTGGGGGTCTCCAAAAATAATACACAAGGAACTATATTAAAGGGTGGCGGCATTCGGAAGGTTGAGAACCACTGCTCTGGACAATCCAAATGGTTTTCTGCCCCTAGTTGACATTTTCCGGCAGCTCATGACAACCAGAATGGTCGTGTATGTGAGTGAAGACGGTGGGGTTGAGGGACCCAGGGATGTTTGAGAAATGAAGTGTCAGTCCACCTTGGCCAACTCCAAAAAAGGCTATTTAGTCCTTTTGTATTATTTCCCTCTTGAACTTCCTGAGGCCATGCTCAGCTTCTAAAATAAAATGTAGAACATCTGGCTGTGACTTTCTTGAGTCTGGCGCCTTAGACCACTCAGCCATCCTGACACATCTGGCTGTGACTTTCTTATGGAGGCCTGGGACCCTGGTTTCCAGAAGAGAGCTCTGGAAGCAGCCGGGTGCCCCAGCTCTTAATCCACCACCAGCTAGATCTGACTCATCCCTCACTGGGCCTCTGGGTCCAAGGAGATTCAGCATATCATTGATGGGGATCAGTAGCGTTGGGCTCTGAATTTCTGAGACCCTCACCTCAGGGTTTGACTTCATCTGTCAAATTAAACTGAAACAGGCCCCAGGGGGCGTGGCCACCATTAGTCATCTGCCCCTTTATTCCAGGAATTTCTGGTCTGAACTTGCCCAGTGATTTCGTTCACTGTGGAGTTGAATCACATCTTCTGGTGTTCTTTCAGCCTCCAGGCCTGAGGGGGAAATGCAGAGATGTTTGGACAGACCTTGGCTGAAAAGAAATGTATCTCCAAACAGATCTTTGGCCCAGATACCTTTCTACTGGAAACTGCCAGCCCAGCCACCTCCACCCAGGGTCATGGTCCACTGAAAAGGACATCATATGTCATCTACAGTCTGAGGCTCAGGGTGGTTGTAGTATTAAA